GTATTGGTAGTTATGGTTGACGTGGGGCACGAGGTTCTGGCTGACGATCGGGTTCACGGATCCATAGGTGGACGGGTAGTTCGACACGAACTGTGCCGACGCTACGGAGATGAGGGCGAGGATTACGGCTGAGAACTGGATGTGTTTGAGAGTAAAATGAAAAGTTTTTTAAGTAAATTAAATAGAAATTAAATTAGTATAGCTAGCACAATTTGTTAATTAATTTAAGGTATAATTGTTTTATAAGTTTTTATATAAAATAAATTAGTTTTCAAATACATATGAATATAATTACCATTATATAGCGGTTGCGGGGAAAAAGTTTTGGCACTTTTTTTGTGAGGCTAAAGGAAATGGAGTGTGAGGTGTAGTGGTGAGTGGATCGGTAGAGAACGGGTGTCCGCTTTATATACATATGGGTTGTCGCCGAAAACCTTGAGACGACTGGCCTTCATGGGTGCCGATTACCAGCGAACGTGTTGTGTCTACCCATCACTCGCACCGGTATTATATGTTTGATGAACCGTAACCACGAATGGACAGATACACACACATATAAAAAACCTGTACTCACTCTCACCCTCTAATACCTGTCCATTAAATTAATATCTTTTTCTATTTTAGACTACATTTGTATTTGTCGTGAAACGTGAGCCGAGTATTGATTACGAGTTTAGCGTTTCAATGAGAGGTACGAAAACGTAATACATCTCTCACTTCACTCATAGATCATTAGTGATTATATGCGAGGGTCGGGAGGGATAGGGAGACAATAAAATGAATATAACATAGTATTCACTCAATACTCATCACATCCCTTCCCCGATACACACCTGAGCCCTAATGTCTGTCTTAAAACATTGAAATAAAATAAAGTGTAAAAAGGTTTTCCATTAATCAGTGATCACTATCTGATGGCATATATTACCGGTGAGAGTGAGTGAGAGAGAGAGAGAGAGAGAGAGAGAGAGCACAGGTAGGGGTTTCATTGGAGAGTACAACCCCTTGACAACAGTTAATGAAAATATAAATTGCTTTTTGTCTCTGTCTCTGATTTACAAAAAAGACATTTAAATGTTATATAATTTATGATAAGTTCATTAAAAACTAATTGCAAAGTTTTTACATATAATTTCTAATTACAAAATAGATTAAAACAAAAAACTTTAAAACTATTGAACGGCCATCAAAAGTGCACTAAATTTGTCCCAAAAAAAATTACTTCATTTATAGAAATAGAAAAAATTAATTACATTTGATTGTGATGTAAATCACGGATTGGTTCCCAAAAATTAATGTATGAAAATAAACTAAAAGATAAGAAAAATGTAAAATTAAAGGCATTTCTAATCGTAACGTTCAGTGAACACAGTTTTAATATTAGGTTTAATTCATTCATACAGTGATTGTATGAATGCATAAAAGTTAAAAAGTTTTTGCAAACAATTTTTGACAGATTGTGTGTCAGTTGGAGAGAGAGAGAGAGAGAGAGAGAGAGCAGTCGTTACAGAAAATTCAATGTCAAGGTCTTATTCCGTGATAAATATCTGTATTATATTTACTGTAGAAATGGTTTTATTTTTATAGCTCTGGAAACGTTAGAAACTAATTATAAAACAAAAAATTATTATTCAACGCAAGCCCTTATGGAAAATTAAAATTAAATACAAAAACTCAATAATAAAACCATGGATTACTGTAAGTACTGTATATTTTTTGCAAATTAATACATTGTATACTATTTATTATAAATTGTTGAATACATGACTATTATACTTATTACGAAAACGCATTCATTATAAGTTAATTCAGTTTCAAATGTCTATAAAAAGGCATTAAAATAATAAAATCTAATTTTTAAGACCCATAGAAACAGGACTTGATTTTTATGATCGATTATTCAGTTTTTCAAATGTTTAACAAAATAATGGAATAAGTTTTAAAATACACTTAAAAGTAGATTTGAAATGAAAGAATATTTATTAAGAAAAACAATTTTTACACAACAAAAAAATAACTTACAATTATTTCTTATAAATTTTATATCATTTATGTATCAAATTATTTAAAACTTTAAATGTTATTAATAATAATTAACTTATTATTAAGTAATTAACTTATTAATGAAAATTATGACTAAAATGTATTCGCAATAAAATATTTGATAAAAGTTTGCCTCAAAACTTAAACTCAATAATAAAGTTATCATTAGATTATGAATTAGATAAACACAAAACGGATAATACTATTAAAGTTATATGAAATCACACGTCAATTAGATTGAATTAAACTAAAAACACAAAATACAATCAAAACACTGTTAGACTAGAAAATAGAAAACTATTTGATTCAAAACATTTGATTAAATAGTATTTGAAAACACATTTTGTTATACAAAACAAAAAAGTAATAATAATTAAAACTCAAAATCATAAAATTATGTGCGAAATGTTTTCAAAAACGTTTCGACTATTAAGTGACTAATAAATGAAAATGTTTTGCAAATAAATATCATAAAAACACACAAACACTTGAAAATCAATGACTATTCAAATGAGTGAAACGAATGGAGAACTCAATGAATGATACAAAACATGTCATCAAACAAAAGCACACTTTAATTGCCAGTGTTTTGGAAGATCTTCTGATACTCTTCCAAATGCTGCACAAAAAACACACAAAAACACAATACATTAGATATAAAAACACCCAAAAAACTACTGAATCCTAACACTGACCGGTATTTTAATCTTATTCTTGTAGTACACGGAAGGCTTGAAGTCCTTATCGGTGTCCGAGTCGTCGGAACTGCCGCTAAACTCGCAGAAGTTATACTCATTCTTAGGACACAATTAAAACAAACATTAAAAACACGGTTTAAATCACAAATTCAATACAAAACTAAGCCTTACCTCAGATATGGACACATCCGAGCTATACATCGCCGGCTCCTGACTATCCTTATTGGCGCCGGTATTGCTCTCTTGACTCATATTATCATCGGTTGACTGAAAAAAAACAAAACAAACAAAAAACTTACAAAACATTACACGAAAACCAAAACCACAGCACAAACCACAGCGTCGAGCATACTATGGACGACACCATCGACGACCACCTGATCCGCGGACACATCAGTACTCATCGCCAGCGTATTGTTCACCAACTTCTTAGCCTTCGGAGTGGACGTACGTCTCCTCTTATCCTCGGCCTCGCGGCGCGACTTTGGCATCGGCTTGCGATACACCCGACTATCCGTACTAACAGTGCGAGCCCTACCACCACCGGCGCTCTGATTCTGACTACTGGCGCTCACCGTACGAGCCCTACCGCTGCTGCCAGCCCTCGGGGAACCGGTAGCCGCCGCTGACGAGTGAGTATTCTTGAGCGCCCTATAGATCTTAATAGCTTTACGGGAATCTCCAAAACTCTGCGGACGCGCCGGCCGTTTCTGGCGGGCCGGCAGTAGGTTCGGGTGCTTCTTGACGAGGTTCAGGTGCACCCGTTTCGCGGAATAGCACTTCACGTCGTGGGTCTCCAGGTATTCAT